CATTGCACTCATTTGCCCATCCAGTGTAAACTATTATTTTATCAGTGCTCTATTCTCCCTATATTCGACTATTGCGATACCGCTTGGTGTGGCCTTTCTGACACAACTCTGAGCCAATTAGAAGTCCACCATAGATTTATACTTAAAATTCTTTACAACAAGGATCGATGTTTTCCTTCGGATGCCCTTTATCGACTTGCACACACTTCTCCTCTCTCCGTTCGTCATAAGCACCATCTCTGTACACTGGTTCATAAGATATTTCTTCATAAAACCCCTTCACACATGATGAAGTACAATTGGTTTTCGACAAACGTGGATTGCTCGCCTTTAGTATAGTCAGTGCTTCAGCGATATCCTCACTCCGCTCAGGCTGAATGCAGAACTTTGTATGGAGAAAGGAAGAGAAGGAGAAGATGCCATTATGACTGACTAACTTTACACTATATATCCTAGCTGCTATTCTCAGTGTACACACGGAATACCGACGGAAACCATTTGAACATTGTCCAGGGAAAAATCAGCAAAGTTGGAGTGTTAATCGTAAACAAAACTAACCAGCGACAACTATGCAGCCAACATGCGTATGGACTTCGATGAAAACCAGAGCACGATCATAACAGATGGTCCTGTATGTTGCACCCATTAGTGTCAGCTCTCCAAAATCCGCCATTAAATCCTTTTTTCCACTTTTCTTGGGTAGCAGAAGAGAAAAAGAAGAGAAACAAACAAACAAATATTTAAGCAGGCATTAGCACCCAAACTTTTGCTTCATGACAACCTTGCCGATTTTCGCAGCCCAGCTAGTGAAACACCTTTGTGTTGTGCATGAAAATCTCCAGTTCTCTTACGATATCTTTTTTTGGACTCGTCCAAGCACCTTCTCCACCATCGCACGATTCATTATAGCCAGGGCAGTCTCCGATAGACGTTTTCCGTTTTCCGTCGAGCACATCTTCCTTTAAAAAGCACTGATATCTGTGCAAGGTGCAAGAGAAAGAAAGAATCAAACAAAACTGTAGGCTGTGCCTTGAGATGCCAGTTATATCTTCTTCGTCAGCACCCCACCTTCCGCCTTCGCCTTTAACTGTTACCACCTTGTCAGTAACGTCTACAATGTAGCAATGCTTTATTCTCAAGATAGTGATGACTCGCTTGTCATACCCCCTTTGCGGTACAATCCTGCATCGCTATTCATACCGTACGTTTGGGTGTGGGTGCGTGGGTGTGTGTGCATGTGTGTGTGCACGTTTGTGTGTGGGTGTGTGTGCACGTATGTGTGGGTGTGCACATGTGTGGGTGTGCGTGTTTGTGTGCATGAGTTTGTGTGCAAGTGTGTGTACATGTGTATGTACGTACGTGCATATGTGCACGTGTTCCTGTCACCTGCAGATCGTGGAAAAGCTCTGCATGGGCATGGGTGTATAGCAAAGCCAGAACATTTTTGCACTGTTTGAGTAGTGTGGATCACTGTCAAAGAACATTGAAGGTCATATCATCGTCAATGCATGGAATGGCGTTTGTCTGCTCGCAGTCTATTCATATAAGCAGGTTAATCAAATCACACTCCCTATGCATTTCTTCTGCTGCTCTGTTACGGGTCAAATCGATCTACATGTAGCTATCCTGATTTGTTGGCCTTCCCGCCACTGTTCATCTGTGTCATTTTCAACCATGGTGTTTCTTTTGACCTGCTGCTGCATCGTTCTTTGAAGTGCGCACAACCTACCAATCAATCTAGAACTGTTTGAAAATCAGCAGACTTTAATCTGATTTGTTGGCCTTCCCGCCACTGTTCATCTGTCATTTTGAACCATGGTGTTTCTTTTGACCTGCTGCTGCTGCATGGTTCTTTGAAGTGCGCACAACCTCCCAATCAATCTAGAACTTTTTGAAAATCAGCAGACTTTAATCTGATTTGTTGGCCTTCCCGCCACTGTTCATCTGTGTCATTTTGAACCATGGTGCTCTTCTGCTGATTGAAAATCAGCAGACTTCAATCTGACTTGCTGGCCTTCACGCCACTGTTCTTCTGTGTCATTTTCAACTATTTTGTTTCGTTTATATATTCACTACTTTGAGGGAAACACACAATACTTCGAAGTGTAATATTGATACTGCATACATCATGTATTGGCTCTGAATAGGTTTAAGTATAGGTTAGTGCATGGCAGGGAGGGCCTTGTGGCTTGTTAGTGCCCGACAGGTTGAGGGCCGTAGGCCCGAGGGCTACCCTGAAGGGCACAAACAAGCCATAAGGCCCTCCCTGCCATGCACTAATTTTTTTAGAACGAGGTTACATGCATTATCTCACTTCAATCATTCTTGTGTACCACTATATTGGGTAGTTTTGTGGGTTGTATGTAGAGAGACTTGGTGTGGTATGAAAGAATATGTTCTTTCTGGTAAGTTATTGTAACTCAGCACCACTGAGGACTACTAGTAGTAGTAGTAGTATTTTTTTATTTTCCATCGGAAGCCTCAACAGTGATGAACACAACTCTTAAGAGGGCCGATAACAGAGTAGAGGGGTGTGGGGTGAGAAAAAATAATAAAAATAATAAGAGATATTTAATAATAAGAGATATTTAAACTAAACTAAACTGATACTTGGAACAATAAAGCAGCAGTAAGCAGTAAGCAGTAAACACAGGTATACAATACAAGCGATGCAGATCAATGAGGCCGTTTGCTGAAAAGAAGATCAAAATACTTCTGAAAAGACGCTGCGTCTTTAAACATGGTCATAATGGGATAATGCAAGAATTAAAGAGATGTTTTTAAAAACGAATTTAAACTAGGAACGCAATCACATTGCACTCATTTGCCCATCCAGTGTAAACTATTATTTTATCAGTGCTCTATTCTCCCTATATTCGACTATTGCGATACCGCTTGGTGTGGCCTTTCTGACACAACTCTGAGCCAATTAGAAGTCCACCATAGATTTATACTTAAAATTCTTTACAACAAGGATCGATGTTTTCCTTCGGATGCCCTTTATCGACTTGCACACACTTCTCCTCTCTCCATTCGTCATAAGCACCATCTCTGTACACTGGTTCATAAGATATTTCTTCATAAAACCCCTTCACACATGATGAAGTACAATTGGTTTTCGACAAGCTCAACCCGTAACGCGCTCACCCTGCCTCTTGTTAAGTCAGCCCAGTATCTAAAGTCCCCTTTGTTTTCCGGCTACTCTCATTGGTTATCATTACCATACGGTCTGAAAACTTGTTCTTCTATTGGTCAGTTTAAAGATCTACTATCACAACTGAACTAGACGCAATAATTATCATCGAAGAACATTCTCGAATACCTGGGTGATGCACGAATTTTGATAGTGCTCACTTCCGTTAATCGTTTTTCTTTGTAATTTTCCATTCATTTTCTGCTTTAATTCATATTATTTTTGCTTTGTTTTCCTAGCTTACTATTGCCGTGGCTGGCTCAACGCCCTTGTCTCAGGGGATTCTGTCCCTGCACTAGCTATGCTTGTCACATGCTATGAGATTGGGTCTAATAATAATAATAATAATAATAGTAAACACAGTTATACAATACAGGCGGTGCAGATCAATGAGGGAGTTTGCTGAAAAGAAGATCAAAATACTTCTGAAAAGACGCTGCGTCTTTTAGCATGGTCTGAAGGTGCTTAGCAAATGTAGTGCGGTGCTGGGTGCGCCACTCCACAGGCAAAGAATTAAAGAACAGGGCAGCACGATTTGAAAAGGAATTGACACCGTCAGTCGTCCGGAATTTAGATATTGCAATAGCAGCATTAAAAGAGCTTCTTTTTGTCCTAGGGCCGGTTGAAACTTGAGGGAAAAGGTCCGTCAGATTTGGGAGAGGGAAAACGACATGATTAACATGGATAAATTTAGCAATGCTACGAATAAGGTAATGTTCAAACGGATCAATCGACAATCTAGCTAACAGCGGCATGACGTCATCTTGTAGTTTCGAGCCACAAGCAGCGCGTACAGAACGACGATAAACGGACGAGAGTCGCTGTCGGTCCTTGGCGGATAGTTTCATTGCAAAGCAAGAGCAAATTTTTGAGCTCCGCAGTTTTTCAGTCTCTGGCAGCCCGTCGGCGTGGCCGAGAGGACCACTAGCAGTATTAGTTAGTTAGTATCGTGTAGTAGGGCTGACCCACCTCTGGCGGCCATGCCCCCAGCTACAAAGGCCGCCCTCAAGGGGCTCTCAGAGGTCGAGACGAAACTGCTGTGCTCCCTCCCGGGTATCGAGTCGTCTGTGATTGAGGTTATCAAGACCCTGGCGAACTTAGCGTCCGAGTCGGCCGATCGCGAGGATCGCCTCAACAAAAGAATCAATGACCTGTCGCGGCAAGTGTCAGGCCTGACTCAGGAAGTTGTCTCCCTCAAGGAAGCCGCCATTGCCAAGGCAAGTGTTCTCCCAAATGTTCAAGCTTCTCAGCAGAGCCAGCGTACGAAGCGTAGATCTACGAAATCGTCAATAAATCGTACCCGTAGTACCCGCACAGGCCAGGCTGCCGCGTGCACTGCTAGTACGGGTGATCCCCGTAGCGTGGGTGACACTGGCAGTGACCCTGAGCCTGAGGCGTCCAGTGAGGAAGACAGTAATTCTGAGATCATTGGCATTGAGGGCCCCTACAGCAGGAGAGCTAAACATCGCTCCAAGCCAGTCCTGGAGGTCTTAGACGACGACAGCTGGCAACTGGTGTCAGGAGAGCCTCCCAGGTCCAGGAGGGCAGTTTTGTATGTAGGCAATTTAAGCTCAAGCTGCACTGAGGAGGGACTGAAAAGCTTCACCCAGCAGCGTGCAGTTGCAGCAGGGGGTACGGCAACGGTGCACACTTGCAGCCTCCACACCACGGAGGCAGGAAGAGTGTCTGCCCACCTAACTGTGGACGCTAAGGACCTCACCCTAGTCACAACTGAGAATTTCTGGCCAAGGCCCCTGTACGCGAGGCCATGGCGATTTAAGGAACGCACTGAGCAGCAATCCAAATGATGCCCCCCAGCCTAACGCTCCTGCTCACAAATGCCTTCGGACTGCAATCCAAACTTGGTGAGTTCCAGCACACCCTAGACCAAGTCCAACCTGATATCGCCATCATCACAGAAACCAAGCTCACCCCAGAAAGTACTACGCAAGCAGAGCTGACGGTCCCTGGCTATTACTCACCCTTGCGGCGTGACAGGACTCGCCATGGCGGTGGTGTGGCAGTCTGGGTTAAGACTTCCCTCGCTATGCGGGAGCTGGAAACAATCGACGTGCTTGATCAGGAGCTCATCTGGCTAAGCGTCAAGCTGTGCAACGGCCAGTCTGTGGTCATATGTGCAGCTTACCGCCCTGGAACGTGCTCAGACACAGACATCACCATCTTTGACGCCATATCTGCGGGCCTCGAGTCGACAGCGCGCCGAAATTCGCCTGTGATCCTAGCTGGTGACTTTAATGTGCACAACCAAGACTGGCTCCACAGCAGTCGAACGACACGTGCAGGCGAATATGCAGAGGACATGTGCCACATGTATGGTCTTGAGCAGCTCGTCCATGAGCCAACCCGTGGTCGCAACACCTTGGACCTCGTAATGTCAGATTTACCAGGCAGAATCGTCACGCCTCTGCATCCACCCCTTGGCAAATCCGATCATGCAGTGATAGTTGCACATTTTGATGTGGCACCAACCCCAGACCGTCCGACCAAGCGCACAGTATGGCGGTACCAGCAAGCCGACTGGCCCCGCCTACGCGCCTTCCTGCGCGACTCAGACTGGTCCTTCCTTGCTACTGATGACGTTGACACCTCATGTGACAAACTCACCAGGAAAGTCACAGAGGCAATGAAACGATTCATACCATCCAAAGTATTGAAGCAGCGAGCCAGCAACCCAATCTGGTGGTCTCCTGAATGCCAAGCATGTGTTGACAGAAAACAACAGGCGTGGAGGCGCCATCGGGCGTCCCCAGATGATGCTGCACTTCTGTCAATCTTCAAGGAGGCAGCAACTGCCGCAGTCGCCACTCTGCATCGAGTAAAGATGGCCCACATTGCGACAGTAAGGCGCAAGATCAGCGCTGGAGGTCTCTCCAGCCGAGAGTGGTGGACTACGATCAAACGTGCTGGTGGCCATAGCAGCCGTTCCTCGGAGATCCCGACCTTGACCCAGGCCAACAGTGTCGAAGTCAGGCAGAGCGCAGCGAAAGCTGAGGCTTTTGGAAAGTTCTTCTCGTCAAAGTGCAGTTTGGGTACGGATGACTTGCAGGCAGACGTGCTCCCACCAGTTCGTCGCCGCTCAGATGCGCAGCTCCACACAGTGCACTTCCGACCTTGTGCGGTCGAGCGCGAGCTCAGGAAGGTCTCCGCTGCAAAAGCCACATGACCAGATGGCCTGCCTGGCCGAGTCTTGCAGGAGTGCAGCAAGGAACTTTCAGTCCCTGTGTCGAAACTGTTCGCCAAGTCCTTTCGGGCAGGACGCCAGCCTACCCTATGGAAGACTGCCATGGTTGTACCCGTCCACAAGAAGAAATCGAAATCTGATGTGAGCAACTACAGACCTATCTCACTCCTCCCCATCTTGTCCAAGGTGATGGAGGCTATCGTCAACCGTGCCCTCAGGAAATTCCTTGAGTCAAACAATATCCTCTCCCAGAGCCAGTATGGGTTCCGCAGCAGACTTGGCACCCAGGATATCCTCACCCTATTGAATTCGCAGTGGGGCAGGGTGGCCGCAAGCGGTGGTGCAGTAAGGGTGATCGCAGTGGATGTGGCTGGTGCGTTTGACCGTGTCTCGCACACCGGAGTGCTCCACAAGGCAGAGCGTTATGGCGTAGCTGGTCACCTGCTTGGCTGGCTCCGCGACTACTTGAGCAATCGGAACCTAACCGCAGCTGTTGGTGGGGAGCTATCTCAGCCCTACCCGGTGAGAGCTGGCGTCCCCCAGGGCAGCATCCTGGGACCGACACTGTTCATCCTGTACACAAATGACGCCGAGGACCATCTCCCTCCTGGAATGGACCTCGCAGCATATGCCGATGACACTACGCTCTTCAACTTCATCACCTCAAGAGTGTCCATACCTGGCAGCTCTGCTATCATGCAACAGGGTGTGGATGCACTGTCTCGCTGGGGCGTGGAGTGGAAGATCAAGTTTGAGCCCTCCAAGACCCAAGCCATGACAATCGCACATCATCGCCAGCCTTGGCAGCTCCCGGGAACCACTTTCGACGCTACGCCAGTCAGCGAGGCAGGCCACCTGAAGCTCCTGGGCGTCACCTTTGACTCCCAGCTGACATATGCGCAGCACATCCGCACGATCCGCTCCAGAGCACAGCAACGCCTAGGCTTCCTGCGGAAGGCCTCTGCTATCCTAGAGCCCCCTGGCCGACTCCGAGCCTACAATGGGTTTGTCCGACCTGTGCTGGAGTACTGTCCCCTGGTCTGGCTTGGTGCGCCACCCTCACACTTGGCCAAGCTAGACCAGATCCAGCGACGAGCCATCCACATCATCGGATCGGGCTCCTGGCTCCCTAGTCTATCTCTGCGGCGGACAGTGGCCTCGCTTGCATACTTGTACAAGCTATTCTGCCTAGATGCGGACAGCCCGCTAAAGAAGATCCTCCCCCCTGGTGCCCAACGTCGACCTCAGGACATACAGCCCACCCGCGTGTCTGCTCAGCCTACGCACCCACACCAGCTATCGACTAACCTGCCAGCACGCAGTGAAGAGCAAGGGGACACTAAAGTTTGTTTGTACCCTGAAATTTTGTTGGCATGCTTTGTGTTGCCACACCTGTCGTCACCGCTCTGGTTTCGGATGTCGACTCCAGTGCCATCGCTAACTTAACCTACGCACTCAGTCCGCAGAGCATATCCGAGTGTCTGCACCGGTGTGCGGTGAAGGTCGTGCAGTGCTGCCAAAGGCAAGTTCAGCGTCGCAGCCCGGCTGAGTGCATCACATCTTCTGTGGAACCTCTGACGGCGATTGTCGCAAGCACTGCTCCACTGGACCGCGAGTCCATGCCAGTTTACTTTCTCTTAGTGGTGGTAACAGAAGTGGTGGTAACAGATAGCAGTGCCGATGGTTCGCAACTCAACGGAAAACATGCCTATCCTTGACACTCGATGATGTGAATGACGAGACCCCAGCATTCGATCAGGCAAGTTACGGTGGGAAAATCCGTGAAACCTTCCAGCAGGTCATTCCATAATGACAGTGACAGCCACTGCTGCCAAGAACATCGGGCTCAACGCAGACCTAGTATACTCACTGAGCACCAATGGAGCGTGAACTCTCTTTAGTGTCCACCAAGACATGATACCCTCTTCCACCATCTTTGATCGGGAGACATCAAACTGCTGGCAGTTCATGATCACAGCTACAGACAAAGGCGCCATTGGAGCGTGAACTCTCTTTAGTGTCCACCAAGACATGTTATCCTCTGCCACCATCTTTGATCAGGAGACATCAGACTTCTGGCAGTTCATGATCACAGCTACAGACAAAGGCGCCACTGGAGCGGGAACTCTCTTTAGTGTCCACCAAGAAATGATATCTTCTGCCACCATCTTTGATCGGGAGACATCAAACTTCTGGCAGTTCATGATCACAGCTACAGACAAAGGCGCCCCGAGCGGGAACTCTCTTTAGTGTCCAACCAGACAGTGGCATGATATCCTCAGCCGCAATATTTGATTGGGAAGCATCCCACTTCTGGCAGTTCATGATCACAGCTACCGACAAAGGCGCCCCGAGCAGGAACTCTTTAGTGTCCACCCAGACAGTGGCATGATAGCCTCTGCCACAATATTTGATCAGGAAACAACCTACTTCTGGTAGTTCATAATCACAGCTACAGACAAAGGCGTCCCGCCACGAGCTTTCACATTGCGGTGCCCGTGGCAATCAGCATCACAGATGCCAATGATCATCCTCCACAGTTTGTACTTGGTTCCAGGATCACCATGCAGTACAACGTGAACAAGTATGTGTGACGTCATCACTTTGAAGTATGTATGACATCATCACTTTGAAGACCTACACTCTGCATACTACTTCTCTATACTGTACACTGCAGACTGCAGACTGCACTCAGTATTTATGCTAGCCTATCATACAAACGTCCACTCAACTTTCCCATTGTGCAGGTGGTTTATACTGGGCATATAAACCACATGGGCATATAAACCACATATTCTCCTAACATAAACGCCTTAGTATTTGACCCCACTAATTTCACAGATACCGGTCAATTATATAGTGTATTTGACTAGTCAAATACGCAGTTATATTTGACTAATAGTAAAGAAAAAGGACCAAGAAACTGCAAGATCCGACAAGTACATGACATTGTATAATGTCTTGGTCATTTTTTATTTACTATACATTTATCCTTGCCTCTCCATCCGAGTCCATTATATTTGACTACTTTTATTTGACTCCTTGGGCCATCCGTGAATATCGAACTTTTTCAATGAAATTATTCTAGTTTGGACCCAACCCCTCCCTCCCCCTCAGAACGGAAAAAAAAATGTTAACTTGATACATGCAAAAGTCGCAAGTGTGTCACTGCTCCTATGGCCGTGTACATGTATCAATGTTTTCTGAAACAAAATCGGTCAACCCCCTCCCACCCCATAACGAAATTATTTCGTTTTGTGGACGACCCCTTCGATAGAACCTCGTAAGGCAAGCAGACAGCATTTGTATAGAATATGAGAGCACCGTTTAACATTTTTTATTGTCAGCATTTAATTGTGTCCAGGCCCATTTCTATTCCCTCAATTACTGAATATTCCCCTGGTGATGGTCTTTGATTTGGCAAAAGATCTTGCTAAGGGTGATAGAAAATCAGTAAAAATGAAAGTAAAGAAAGAGGCAAAGCAGCTTGCTACTACTATTGGTAAAGACAAAGCTATCAATCCACATGTTAGGGATACCATCAATCAATTATCAAACAACAAGGACATCAAACGAGTTTTGTTGGATAAGAATAAAGAGCTTCTCCAAGATAATCAGATAGGATAGCTCTCTTAATATTATCTTGGAGAAGCTCTTTACTCTTATCCAACAAAACTCGTTTGATGTCCTTGTTGTTTGATAATTGATTGATGGTATCCCTAACATGTGGATTGATAGCTTTGTATTTACCAATAGTAGTAGCAAGCTGCTTTGCCTCTTTCTTTACTTTCATTTTTACTGATTTTCTATCACCCTCAGCAAGATCTTTTGCCAAATCAAAGACCATATCTGGAGTGATCTGCTATTTTGCTGCCTCCAAAGCTTTCTGAGCTGTCATTTTTCCTATGGATTTGACCTTTGGTGCTAAGATTTTGCTGGTGTTGTATAGTACACCTTTGGCTCTGTTGTACAGATTTCCAAGAAGACTTCCGCCGATAACCTTTTGTCTGGTATGCTGATTTCGTTTCAAGAACATGATGTCATCTATCTAGTCTTATTTTCTTTCCCGGAGATGAAGACTGAACGTGGTTCGTTCATTGTTGAGGTTCAGTTCCTTTCCATCTTGATCAGTTATCCTCATTATTACATCCGATATTCTATCAGTTTTCGTTAATGGTAAAAACGTCTTCTCATTCGGTTGGATGTTGAGTTGAAATCCAGGAGGTTTATCCGGTGAAAAGGAGTAAATGACATCACCAGTTCTACCATTGAGATATGCCTCACTTACCAAACTACAGTGAATGAGGATGTTGTGAGTGTCAGTGATATTCACAATGAAGTCAGATGTAGAAGTTGCATCAATCAGTTTCTTGGAAAATCCGAGCACAGGAGCAAGTGATGATGGGATGTCAAAGTCAACCTTGTATCCATGTTTGAGGTAAATTTCACTGTGTAGAGTGTTGAAGTTTGGCTCAATCGTTATCCCGTCCTCATTTTCGATTTTTCTCTGGATATATCGATTGATGTCAGTCAAGTTGTAAGCACCTCTTGGAATGACATGAGTTTTCCAGGTTTTCCCATCAAAAATCCGAATTTGGTTGTTTGAGGAACATGTTGATGTTGAACCAACTATACCAGATGGTAGAATTGATCAGAGCAATTTCATAGGTCTTCTTTTCATCAAGTAGTAATGGAGGGTTGAATGATGCTTGAAAGTTTTGACTTGTTCCTGTGATTTGTGAACTGTGACTGTCAATAAATAGGATGGTTTCCATGGTTCTATCTATACATAAGATTTATAAATCTTCTTGTATTCACTCTTTTTTATCACTTTCTCATTCAACAAACGGTCCAAGATCTCAACTAGTTCGTTAATGACTTTCTTTGATGTATTTCCTGCCTCTCGGGAAGCGCAAAGTAAACCCAGTCTTTCTACTAACTCACCAGGTGATTGGTAAAATCTGATTCGAGTACCTTCCAAG